TAATAAACAATTGAGTGCTTCTTCTTACGAAGTGATAAACATTGGAGGCATTTCTTTGGAAAATAGAATCGATAATATATGTAAATATTTTAAAAACAAGAAAAACAATGTTAACCCAAAAGCTTTAACTCAAGTGGTAAGTCAAGCGAATACTGGCGGTGTTCAGAACACTCTGTATGTAAGCATAAATGAAAAAATGATGCTAGAGTAACGGCGGCCATTGCTAGTAATATCTGGGCTGCTTATGAAAAACAAGGTCGTAATGCTTTTCGCGAAGATCATTTGTACTCTTGGACTGTGAGTGCGGTCATGTAGCGATAACTCAGGTCATTAAATACCATAAATTATATAATTGAATAAAGTCTAACATTCATTTATACACATCTAGGTCGCAGGCATCTTATTATGTTTATATGCGAAAGAATGTGTAGGACTTGGCTTGTTAAAACAGAAGACGATGGCTTTGGCAACGTATTTAGAAGGCCCGTTAAAGCAAATAGCAGCCTCTTAAAAGCCATTGACTATCGGGACTTCGCTTTATTCCTTACCGTATTTAATAAATATTTACAATAACGTAATAAATAGTGAATGGAAAAAATGAAATCTTTGAATGGATACACTTTTTTTCGTTTTTATTTATGAAATAGTAATTTGGCTGCATGAACTGTCCATTACTTATTCAACAGCATATAACTTAAGAGTACGATCCATACTTGTCCGCGCAATATATCGGGCATGTTTCCCGAAACGAACAGTGGCCAAGGCTGTACGGTCATTCAAAATCTTTAAATCCTGCCATTGTTTAGACAAATAAACTCTGAAATAAAGATAAAGAAAAAAAAGAAAAAACATCAAGCTGCAATTAAGTGCATTAACATGGAAACTAAACAGATAAAAATTTTTATTCCAAATACGCTTTACTTTGCTACTTTTTCAACGCAATGCACAGATTTAAAAATAAAGTTTACAACAAAATTGAAGGTAATCTAGAGTTAAAAATATAAAACCTTTAACATAGCAATATTAATTAGAGTTTTTTATGAATTAGACTTTTACACCACTCCGGACTTAAAAGATCCTGATGCGCCCAAACCAATCAATTTGACAATAAATGATTTTGATTCGGTAAAGCTTTCCACGTCATTGTTTTATATTCTGCTTTCATTTTCAAAGCACAAAATAATTGAGTTCAGTTAGTTTGTTTGAGTTTAATATTTCAAATACATATATTTTTAAATATATGTTATCTTACTTTCCGCATTCTATTTGGTAGATATCCATTATATTCTTTTTAAGCTAAAGTGCGGTATTCAACAAATGTATTTTAAATGGATTTTACCGATTTTATTTATTAATAATTTTAAAAGCGTTTTTTTTTTTTTTTTTTTTTTTTTTTGATTAAAGAAAGGAAAGCTAACCAATCCTCGTGCACCTTGCGTGGTAAGCACCATCGATCCAGATTATTCAAAAGCGACGAAATGGCAACGTAACGCAAGAAAATTTCGCATGAAAACGTAAGTACTGAAAATATACTGAATCAAGTATTTTACAACTCATAGGTCGCTATCTGGGTCCGTTAAATTGATCTGCTTTTGAGAAATTTATCTAAATTGATCTGCTTTTGAAAAAGGATTGACATGACTGTTACATGAGACAACGTAAGACCTTCTCATGACCTTATATCCCTTTCCCACAAAACTATCGCTTAAAATCCACGGAGGAAGCTGGAAATTTCTTCATCTTATATTCCTACCATCATTATATTGAGATTGATCATATGTCTCGTCTGTTATATATGAAAGAACATCGCAGTTTCAAGATTTTGGATTCTGATCGTCAAACGCACATTAACATCAGAAATCAAGTCTTTCTTACTAAGCTCGCCCGCATTCGAAGAGCAGCTTATTTATAGGAGAAAATGTTGCTTTGCTAAATTTAAACCAAAGATGAATTTCCTGCCTCACGCATAAGCATTTATTCCCATCAAGATTTGCTAAGCCTGTTGTGGAAAGTTGTGGAACTTGTCAACAGTCCTCATTAAATTCTTAGCCTGAGGTAATTTAAAGTAGCCGTTAAAACATTCCGTAGTTCGTAACACAAAGTTTGTCTCCATGTCTCGATCTCATACTGTATAAGAAAGACTATTATTATCGACATCCATTTGTTGCCTTTGTTCATAGTTATGCTTCGAGAGGTTGTGTAGTCTTGCTGACACGGCCATTAATTATAATAGTAATTATAATTATAATTATAAACTAAAATCTACGTACCTGCAGAGATTACTAGACAGGTGCAATCTAATGCTAAAAGATGAGACGACATTATATAAAAAAAAATATATGTCGATCCCATTCGATTTATAATTGGTTATTGTATTTTCGGTTTAAGTGATATTTTGAGGTTAAGGGAGATAGTACGCAATAAATTTGTAATCTAAGCTACACAAGAAAGATATATAGAAAAGCAACGAGAAAGCGTCCATCCAGAAAAAATTTACAAACGTATCACAACTGCTAACGAGGTAAACATATATGTAACATACATGCATTTCTGTTTGGTCATATATGCTTTACTTTGCTTCCATGTAGTTTATGGAGGAGACACTCAATAAAATAGAGAAAAACGCTTTTACAGAAATGAGAGAAGCCCAGCAAGAGTTGGAACAATTGAAGAATTTTAAATTCGGCGACGAATTGAATGAAACGAAAGCCCAACACCAACGAGTTATGCTGAAGGTGCAAGAAGAGTATGGACGTTTCCTACTTAAACTGATTGTAAGTATTCGTCTTCGGCGACTAGCAATCAAAATGCCGCATCCAAAATGATATTCATTTTAGAGTTATTTCGATAATATAATCGATCCGGAGGATATTAATCAGCAAGAGCCGCCTGCCTTGCAGCCTTTCAATAATATTCCTGGAGTCGAAAATAGTAATAGCGTAGGGGAAAAGGATATTGCGTTTGTGACCAACTACATGCAGATAAATGTGCGACCATATCTAGCTAAACGCAATTATTTGACCACTGAAAGATGGTCTAAGGTAAATACATATGTTTGTCGTTCCGAAAACTAGTACAACAACATTGCTTAATTAAAGGGATACGAGCATATAAGACAAAAAATATTCAACTACTATTGTAACTTAACTCGCGTAGCTATGGTGAATCATGTGGTTCTCATCATGCATGAAAAATCGGTAAATGAAAGCCTAAATGCTCTAGTTTCTCACTTAGCCTATAACATTTACAGGAAAAAGCCTTTGCCCGGCTTATCGTAAAACCTGTGATGTTGAGGCAGCCGGAAATTTTACAGCAGCGAGCAGTTTATTTGCGTGAACGAGCTTTAAATATACTCGACATGTTCGAGGAGAAACAAAAAAAAAAGAGTATGTTTTCGAAGTTTGGAAAATTGACAAAAGATAAGAATTTAAAATATCTTCCAGTCATCTTTGGCCGAAAATAAAAGCAACGATACCAATCGTATTGAGGCGTGTCGAGAAAGTGATTGATATAATTGGCAGTAAGGACACCACTGAGATGCCAGTAAAGCATGTATCGAGACAAAAGGCATCTTCGGCGGCCCAAGTGAAAATTGAAACAACTTTTTCAAGTAGAATTCGACGGGATGATCATGAAAACACATTAACCATGGTGGCAAAACTACAATGACGTGTTATAGTAATCGCTATGTTATGTTGTTCAGGTTGTAAAGTAATTTGATTTTTGTAAATAATGTACAGAGTGTACTGCAAGATTTGGAAAAAATCCCACCAAGGGAATGTAGGCGTATTGAAAAAAATGTGCGGAAGCGTATGCAAATGCAAATGGATTCTTCGCGAAAGGCACTTATCCGACAAAATCGCTTGCATCATTGGGTGGAGCATTTCAAAAAGCATGAACTTCTCCGTCATCAGGAATAAAAGTTTACATTAACACACAATATACAAAGCTTACCTTACATCAGTACCAGCAATGGCCAGATAAGTGCCGCTTTGATCAAAACATAAATCTTTCACTTCGTAGCCGTCGTCTAATTGTATAGTTTTAAAGTTTTTCAGTTTGCGTAGATCCCATAATTTAACGCATGCATCATCGGCAGCTGTTGCCAGATAATAGCCATTCTCCGAGAATGAAATTGCCGAAATTGGACCCGTATGGCCCGGAAAATTTGCAACATTGCTCTGCTCTTTAAGATCCCAGATCTTGACTTGAGATTCGTCAGTGCCCGTGCCAAAAATCAAGCCGTCCGGATGAAACTGAGCAGTTGTCAACCCGACCTCGGCAGTGTCGATAACCTATTTTTTATATTTTTGCTTTTATTAACAAATACTTCTCGAAGCGTCTAAACATATGAATGCAACAAACCTTTGTTAATAAACGACCAGTGCGAATATCAGAGAGAGCCCAATGCTTATCTGATGAAGTAGATAGTACATAATCGCCGGTAGGATGCTAAGAAAGACCGGTAACAGTACCATCATGGCAACGCAACAAGAGTTGTGTCTGTGACGTCGGCACATTCCAAACGCGTATAGTGGTATCAGGAGAGGCAGTAATAACTGTATCTTCATCAGGATGATAAATAACGTTTGTAATTTTTTTGGTATGCTCCTTTAGGATAGAACCACTTGTTCTGTATCCTTATTGAAGACTGTTGCATTTTTATCGTTTCCTCCAGTAAGAAATTTACTGTGATCTGCAGGCACTGTACGGCGTCGTTTTTTGCGCTCTTGTGTAAGCACGGTAGCCTTATCCTGTAATTTTTGTATAACGTCGGTGCTCATTCCGGTTTTTTCGACGGGTTGGGTGGCGATACCTCCAGCTTCAGCAGCAATAGTTGGTTGAGGTATAGTCGTGGAAGCAATTGATGCTCGTATGCCTGCTTGTGGTTTAAGTGTGGCCAAAGCTTCGCGAGCTGCTGCCACCTCCTTATTGAGACGCGAAATTACACGGCAAGCCGCATCATGTTGATAAAGTGCATGTGATAATTCTTGACGTGTGGTCTGCAATTGAATCGATCAATTGTAGAGATTTTCTCACTTATTCTTTCTCTCGTTCAATGGTCCGATTGTACCCACGACAATGACAGATATAAGTATTTTTTTGTATTTATTCTTTTTTTGCTGAAAACGTGTTCTGCTTCATTTGCTTTAGGTCAATGAAATCTTTTAATTTTTTTAATCTCTTAACCTTTCTTTCCTTTTGCTCCTGTGCTTGTGAGTTCTGCAAAATGAAAATTTTTTTTAAATAGTGACAGTGCCTTCAGAAGCCTTTAGGCAAGAAGTCTTAATCATAGTAGCTCTTCTACTAATGACACTCTAGAAGAACTAACCCTTGCATAAATCTATTCCCAAAATACGATTGTCAACCCTGAAGTTCTCTTCGAAAAATGGAGCTTGACCCGCAAAGAATCGAAAGTGTTTTCTTCTAGATATTTCTTGGCACCTGGCATCGCGTCAAATTTTTTTATATGCGAGGATGTTTAAGAATTATACTAGATTCGTTTGAAATGACTTTGCTATTAAATGCATTCATTGCAATTTTTTCTTTGCTTTTAAATCGATGGCAAGTGCATATAATGCCTATGATTGTGTAAATTAGGCAATAAACAGAAGCAAGTGGGGAAAGCTCACGAACCTTGGATACTCATCACCTCGAAGTATTATTTAAAATGAGTTATATTTTATTATTTATGCATCTCTAACAGATGTTTGCTTCAAATCTTTGATGAACATGTGAAAAAATTCAGAAAGATTTTGGAATTTTACTCCCCAAAAAAAGGCCTTTTAGGCTGCACCGAGATGATAGAGTGCCGCACTTTAATCTTGAACGGATATGACTAAATCGAATCGAAACTACATTCGGTTTAGGGGATATCTGACGCCTTGTTCTGTGTGAGTGTTACAAAAGGAATGATAAATTGAATATACTATTCTCCTTAGATGGCTTTTATAGAAAAAGTTAGGCAATTCATTGCAAAAAAATAAATTAACATTATAGTGTAATAATACTTTAAAGTGCTTCCTTCAAGAATTGTCTCGATTTGAAAAACACATTTGAAAAAAGTCAATTTTACGTTTTTCATTTTTCTTATTGGTTTTTTGAACCAAGAAAAAATTCATCCAAATTGATTGCTGCAGAGGTGAAATGATGAACGCCATATACAAATTCTTTCGTAATAATCACATTTTGGCCGTTTGCGAAAATGCTGTTTGCCAGAAATCTTTCACTTTAAATTTATCGCGTTTCGAGATGTCCGACCTTCCAGAACTGGTATCGAAATGTGAAAACCTATTAAAATTGTTTCTCAATCATAATCATTTGCAACAAGTAAGTAGTCTTGTCATTCAATTACATGTAAATATCTTCTATCTTCTATTACGGCTGTCATTTCAGTTACCAACTTTTTCCAATAAATTAATTCATTTGCAAGTATTAACTTTGGATTACAATAAGTTAACAGAATTTCCCAGTGTGATTTGCCAGCTGACAACTTTAAAAATTCTAAATGTTAGTTGCAACGAGATTACTAGCGTGCCAAAAGAAATCGGTCAATTGGTGTGCTTGGAAACATTTTGGTGCAATAATACAGGACTTCTACAATTACCAACCGAAATAGGAAATTGCGAGTCATTGGAAACTTTAGGCTTAAGAGGTAACAAGTTACAGCAATTGCCTGACAGTATTAGGTGTTTAAAAAAATTACGTTGGCTAACATTGGATTCCAATGAATTGACCTCCGTACCACATGGTCTAAAGGAATTGAAGCAGTTGGTCCATTTAAATTTAAAAAATAATCGCTTGCTTCGCATACCATCGCATACCTTAGCGAAAATGAGTAAATTGCAATATGTCTTCTTAAATGAAAATCGCATTGAGCAAATCTGTTCCACTCAACAACTTCAGAGTATGAAATTTATTCGTATGCTAAATTTATGTGGAAATCCCTTCTGTGAACTAGCAGCAGTAAGAGGACAATTAAAGGTAAATTTTGCTCTGGTCCACTAAAGGAGAACGTTCATTAAGAAAAAAGTCTCTCGTTTCAGGAACATGAAAATATTTTATATGAATTATTGGAACAAAAATCTGCGGCCGTAACCGTTGACTTGGACGATTTTGAAGTAGATGAAGAGGAGGAATTATCTGATTGGGAGAATAGTATTGAGACTAGTGATTTAGATAGTACTGATGATAGTAGTCTCGAAAATGATTTGGAGGTATTTCTTCTAAACTTTAAGCAATTGGGTTAATATCTCTTACACTTATCCTTTCATTGCAGGATATATCTATACTTATACCAGAACTCTCGCGCTATATAACAAATTTCAGTTAAAATTTTTTTTGGTCTTTATATCTCATTATTGATTGTTTTGTGAAAATTATAGATCTATACATATGTATGTAAGTTAAAAAACCAACAAGCAAATATTGCTAATAAAAAAAATTTGGATTTTTTTTTTCTTTAAATTTAAGTAAAACAATAAAAACCTAATTAGACATTTTTTTCATTAATTCTTCATCCTGCATTGACATGGCGGTAAGTTTTTTTCCAATTTTTTCATGAATATCCAAATATTTTGCTACGCAACGATCAATGCAAACCATCTCACCTTTACCTAGAAAGATTTGCTTTAATTTTTTTGTTTTTTTTTTAGCTGTCATCATCAACTTACCCAAATCCGCTTCGCTATAGCGCGGTGGTATACATTTCTTATGGCACGCATTCGCCATGCGATTATATAAATCTGACATCATTTCAATTTCCATTTCTTGCATTAATTGTAATTTTGCCTGATCGGCTGTGCTTAACTGGGGCATAGCCATGTTCTCAGAGGTTATAAAAATTGATTTAATTTTGCTTTGTCGTAATTTCTTTCATAAATATTTTTTAAGCACCAAACTTTCTACTGCCTACAGCCTCGTAATCTCCTAAGTTCGATTTTCGCATTCGTTCACGAATTTGCATATCCTCGAAACGCCGCTTATCTACAGACTTTTTTGATAGAATAAACGAATATATACCTCCTACCGTTATAATTGTCCTACGTTTGATTATAGTTTATAAAAAATATAAGATTTGATACGTTTTCTCCTTTTTCTGGTTTCGGTTTAATTAATACTTACCACCCCAACGCGATCCTACCGAAATTTCCCAATCGCATTGCAGTTTTTTAAAATATCTCAACCACAATTAAAAGAACTAGCAAAAACATCTGTTTTGCTACCATAACCCTACTTTTGCACAGAGTTGCCTAAGCTACGATTTTTTCATATAATATAAAGTATTCTCATCAAAAATATACAAATGGAAACTATTATATTATAAACGACAAAACACCACATTTGCAATGTCTGGCAAACGAATAGGTCTTAGGGGGCTAGGTTGTTGCAAATCATAAGATTTTGTATGCACATAATAAAAAACCAAAAGGAACAGAAGAACAAAAAAAGACAATTTATCTTAATTATACACGTTATTTATCTAGCTTGGGCTTCTTTTGTATTAATTTTTTGTACTTGTATTAACATTTGTACCATTTATACCTATTTTTTAATTTTTGGTTCTAAAACCATATGTTTTTTTTACATTTTTCTATAAAATCACATGGTAGTGCGACTTTCCATATTTGGAACTTTGCAACCCGAAAATGGGAATGTCGTATTATTGTGTCAGTCCTCTAACACAATATAAACATCATAATTAACGTTTCAAGATATGGCAATATTCTAATAAATCAGCAACAACGAGCTTCAGTTGTTTAAAGCGGTATAATTTTCCTTCCAGGTTTCGCAATAGATTCTAAAGTAATTTCCAACGTTAACTGTAGTTAAAATGTCTAGCAACTCTACATCTTGTAATAAAATATTTATACCGATAGAAACGCCGGCGGAACAAGAAGAAACATTAAAAAATCAACGTAAAACTATTGGCTTGCAGGGAGAAGCGACTGACAAAGAAAACTTTACTGGATGTAAAAAGTCTGATAAATTAAGTCGGCTAAAGGCACTCTATGATATAAGCAACGCTGCTATTGTGAAGGCCAATGAAGGTACAAAGAGGAAAAAAGTTGAAGCCAAAGTAGCCGAAACTAAAACCAATCTGGAATATCCTAATAAAAGAGGAAAAACTGAAGAGACTACGGAGAAAGATGAAACCGAAGAAATCTCAAACAGTTCAGACGATTGGGAACGTATAGCGGAAGAAAGAAGGGAAACTTTAGCTGAAGCTTTAAAAGAAAATCAGCGTTTACATGAATGCGCTGAAAGCTTAGAAAAGGAGTTAAACACATCACGTCAACAAGTGGAAGAAATTCAACATTTGGTGGCCATCCTGACCGAAATGCTTGAAGAAACTGAAAAAGAAGATGCTTCCAACGGAGCTGCTGATGACGAGGAGGGCAGAACAGATAATTGCTCAGACATCGAACTTAAGAAAGATTAGTTTTTTCTGACAATCAGTTATTCTATAAGTGATATAGATTGAGTTTTGATTTAAGTTTAAAAAAGTTACCGTTAAAGTACTTAAAAGAGTTTAATAAATTTTTACTTTTGCCTTTTAATGCGCAATTTAAGCTTTTTCTGTCAGAGGCCTGACTGACATTTCAACAGAATTTAAGTTGTGCACTATCAATTTTTAGATTGTTTTTGGAGAAGGCTTTTGTTAGTAAAATTTATTTGATTTTTTTAAGAAAAAAAAAGAGAAGAGAAAAATATGAATCATTTTTATTTGAGGCGTTAATATATTTTTAAAGAAAATTAATAACAACGAATATAAGGAATGTCCTTTTTTGTTTTTGGGAACACTTAACGAGATCATTTGTAATAATATTAAAAAAAATAATAGCATTTTTTTTTTTTATAATAATACTTCGTAAAAAAGGGCTACTTAATGTATTCGAATTAAGACTCAAATTGCACAAATTTCGATTTTATACCTAAGAAAATAAATGAATAAACAAAGAAAGACAAACTTTACTAACTGGGTGGTATGGAAAAGGCATGTTGACCACTGCCGTGATCAGGTTTCGAGCCAAACCAACTCATTTTCCAAGTCAAAGTGTCATGCAATAGTTTCTCTTCTTCTTTCGTTAATTTCAATAGAGTGGCTACGGCACGTAACAAATGGCGAGCTTCCACCTACAATTATATAAGAACAAAGAAGAAATTTTTCATTTAATTGTATGTACATATTATGTACATATGTTAACTATGTTTTCCTTTGGACAATTTTCAACATATTGGCTCAATTCAAACAGTTTTATGATCGATCGATATTGACTACAAATCTTAAACTGATTTCATGCTATAAATCATTAAATTTTTTCCTTGTTAGTGGTTTTTGAAATACGAAAATGTGCTCCTAAGACTGAATATAAATATGAAATGGGACATGACATTTTCATTGGGTTTATATATTTTTGCAAGAAATCGTAAAATGCAGGATAAAAATAATTTTCACATGCGAAGTGGTCCAGAAAAGGTATGATATGATTTTCAGGAAATATGGTAGTATTACCTCACGACTAGTCAGGAATTTAACGATGACATGCTTCAAGTATTTGAAATTCACTTCATCCATTACTACACCATTATCGGCATGCATTCGATCCCCGCAACTGCAATTGCCTTCAGAAGTTTTCACGCTACAGAATTCTTTTTGTAAAGTCTTTTTTAAGTCTAACAAGCGTTGGTTTAGGATTTTTATAGTCTACGAGAAGGGGATATTATGTAAAATAAATTTTAAAATGAAATCGCACACAGCACCTTATTTTTTTCAACTATCTCCCTTTGAAGATCGTCAATTTCTCGGAGTTTATTTTCATTTTTATGCATAATCGTTTGCAATTCTTCCAGGTTTTCTTTGTTTGTTTGCTTTTCCACATTTATTGTCTTAAGCTCGGATTCAAGTTGTTTGTTTTTCTCTTGCAACTCGTTGGTCTCGTCTTGCTCGCTTTTCAACTCTTTTCGCAGTATATCTAAATTCTGAGATATTTCAGCATTTTTCAGTAAAGCAGTCAGCTTTTCATCTTTCTCTTGATTCAGCGAACTTTGCAGCTCATCGACTTGTTGACGTAAACTCTGTGCGGCATTAGATGAATCGGCGGCAAAATCATTGAAACGGTTCTCGTTACTTTCTAATTTGCATTTCAATTCCAAATTTTCCTTTTGTAAATTTTCCTAATGAAAGGGAATGTTGTATGACATTAAAGCAAAGTAATGTATAATTGCAAATAAATCTGTGTAGCATGCCAAGAAAAACGTGCCGCAACATTCATTAACGAGAACAAAAGTTTTTATTTAAAATAAAGCAATAAGGCACATAATTGGTAGTTAATATTAATAAATTAAACATGTATTGGTAGATCAGGGTTTAGAGTTAATTACAAGTCCCCTTAAGTCCATCATTATTCAGTCAGCGTTGATAATACTCACGGATTTATTTCGCTCAAAGAGTATCTGTTGTTCATTCTCTTCGCGGCATTCTTTTAAAGTTGAATTTAATTCATCAATCTCTTCTTCCAATAATTTTATCTGAAAAAATGTTTTTTTTTTTTTTTATAATATACATCTGGACAGATATGCCAGTGAATCAATCACCTTAACATCTCTTTGCTGCACTTCATCTTTCATGTTTATCAGGTCGAATTCCAACTGTTTTACTCGTTCTGCCAGGTCATCGCGGATTTTTTGGATTTTTCGTTTTTCTGTGGTTTCTTCCGCCACCTGCTTAGATAGGCGGCTAACTTGGGTTTCTAAGGCTAAGTTTTGACCACTCCACGAGCTCTTAATATCGGATAATTGCAAATGGGCCTCTTCCAAATGTTGTTCCAATAATTTACGTTCTTGTACTAACGCCAAGAGCTTCTCGTCAGTACTGAGAGCATTTAAGGAATCCACTCGGGATTGTTGCACTATTTGCAATCTCATTTTTAAATGCTCATTTTCTTCTTTCATTGCAGCCATTGTTGTAGTGAGGTTATTTTTATCAAGTTGCGAGGCATGCCGAAAATGCTCAAGTTCATCCTGAAAAACTATGCTGAACACACTCTTTATATATTTTGTTTTTAGAAACTAACCTTTAAGTCTTCCACTTCTAGTTCTAGATGTTTAAGTCTTTCCAATTCGGAGGTTAAATTTTCGACTTGTTGCTGACTTTGCCTTAGCCCTGATAAACGGTCTACAGCTTCTTGCTCACGAAATGCTAACAAGCTTCTCAGTTTTTCTATTTCGTTTTGTTGTATATTTTGAATTTTTTCTTGCTCCTCACAATATAGATCTTTCTGCGTTTGAGCTACTTTTACGGACTCCAGAAGAATCTCGTTTGTTTTCTCTATACGTGATTTTTCGTCTTGCAATGAATGCAAACGATTTTGCAAATCTTGACATTGGACACGTAACAAGGAAAGCTGATCATTCTATTGTAAAACCAAAAACAAAAAAGGAAAAATTTCCAAAGCGATTAACGTAATTCCAATAAGATTTACCTGCTGGTCATCATTGGAATTTACACTGATTGTAGAAGGGAAACGACGATTATGGTCACGATTATTGTTATTGCTATTATTGCTATGATTCACTAATCGATGATGTGGCGGATGTGGAGGTGTTGGTGTAAAATTATTGGCCCCACCACTGCTCGTTGTACTGATTACATCGGAGCCGGTTTCTTCCTTAATTTTGTTCTTTAATGAAGCAAACATCGCCAATTATCAATTATATCATTCAACACTTGAAACTAAATGCGTTTGTAAATATTAAAAAACGAGTAGAAACTTTTGGAGCCGTTGATTTTTTCACATTTCAACATTCTAACCTAATTTAGTGTAATTAACATATTAAAATGCCTTTTAGTTATCAAAAGCTCGCTTTATCAAAAATTATGCAAAATTTTTCTTTAGTTTCATGCAGCTAATTAGAATTACAGTGCCTCTTCTTGTTAATTAGAATTAGGCATGCACTGACGAGTGATATCATGGTAAGGAATTGTCAGTTTATACACAGAGCTGCCAAGACTAAAAGTTTTTACGATACTATTGCTTACACTAGAAAAATTATTTTATATTTCGTAGACGAAGCTTATTTCTTAGAATCATCTTAATCATTAATCAGTTACTTTAAGTTTTATGGTATATATATTTTCCGTTTTATTTCTTTTATCGCCTCAAAGTGATCGCTGGCGATCCCAAACAGGTAATCTTGCTGTTAATCGACGCGTATTTATATATAAAAAATATTTCACTTTTTTTTATTCCGTTATGTAAATATTTTGAAACACTTTATTGGAATTAATACTCTTTCAACGGTCAATCAAAAGTCTAATAGTCTATATTTTTATATAACTCTTAATAAATAAATTCGGGAATAACTTTAATCGTATTTTTTACTTCTAATTGTTATTTTGTCGTTGCTTTTAACATTTTTTGCGTAAAGACATGAAGGAAAACCAGAAGATTTAAAAAAAGCTGCTCAAGCCATGGATAGAAGGGAAAAAATACAGAAAGATACAGAAGCCAAGTATCATGGAGTGGAAGTGGAGTGTGAGGTAGAAAAGTCACGCTAACTGAATTTTTGCCAACAATTGAATTGTCTGCCAGGTTTATGCTTTCGTGATCAGACAAATTGTTTATCGATTCAACCATTATCGTGTTTATCATTATTTTTTCACATTGACTTCTTAAAACTAAGTTTACTATTTCATATTCGCTCGCATTATTCTATACGTTTGCTCGCTATGATTGTCCATTATTATTCTTAAAACCACTTCATCGCTGCTGTTGATGCTGCTTATTATGACTTTGGCTGTTTGCAAAAATATTTTTCGATTTGTGCTGCCACCAACATTTAAAGTTACGGCTGTTGCGTTGGGAGTTTCCCTACGGCTTTTAGTCGACGTCACAACTTACGCCGTTGATGTTTTGTTTTTGCTATTCGATTTTTTTCTTGCGCAATTTTTCTTACATTGATGTTATATGTCTGTCGGTAGTTCGTGCATCTGAAACATCTTTCCTTTTTCTTTAATATAGATTTCTTGTATTCAATGCTATATTTGCTTCTACATGTCCCCATTGAGCGATTGTTTTTTCTGTGTATTGATTTACTCCTAAAAGAGTAATCAATTTTCAAACTTTTTCATTTAGAACAGTTTAAGTTCTACTCCATTATAATCGTTTTCCTTGTGTACTGTTGTTACATTTCGATCTGCTTACCCACTTGTTGTGATTGTTGCTGTTTTACTGGCTTGTTTAAAATGTGCGCTAGGAGTATTTTTTGGTTGTGCTATAAAAGTAACGGCTTTATCCTCGCAGTCATTTGCTTCATCAGTTTTTCGTAGATTAGAATATGCATTACGCAATATTGAAGATTTTTAGAAATTTCTGACTTCAGTCAGAGTGGAGCGTTCACTTCAAGGTACCATATTCTATCGAATGTTTTTAGATAATCCGGAATTATGTTCCATAACTTTGGAACTTGTATTCGCCACCTACAACGTAATACCCTCTCAATTTTGTTGTTGAAATTGGTTTCATCACTTTTGTAAAGTTTTTCTTCTTAATTTGTAATAATTTCACTCTTAATTATATTGTCACTGTTTTTCTTCCGCTCGCTTACTTAATTATCGACTGTCCCGAGTTTCGGCACCTTGTAGGGAATTTCTTAGTGTTCTTTAATTAACTCCAGTCGGCGGCTTTTCCGAACGACTTTAGTTAGAACTTTACCAATTGATTTTGTCCGCCTTTATGTTTAATCTCTTTCCTTTTATTTTTGCGTTCAATCTGGAATGATTGGATTGGAACCTGTCCATCACCACCCCGTAAATAGCGCATTATTTTGAAAAACTCGTCGAAACGAAACTTAGATTTTGCGAAACTGAGTGAATGCGATAAAATTTATCTTTCAACTTTTATCTCCATAAAAAGTATTGTTAAGAAAAATAAACCTGTCATATCTTGACGTTCATACTTCCTTAGGAAGTAAGGCAGGATCCCATTGCAAATCACGTAAAGCAAACAGCAAGAAACCCCTTGAAATATTGCTATAGCAAAATTGAATGCAAGCAAAGCGAAACTTCATTGTGTTGATAGCCTAACTTTTTGTATGATATTGTAGAAAATAAAAATGATGGCAGCTCTGTTTGATAGACATGCAATGAATGAATACTTGATAATCGTTATTAAATATGCCGCCAATTACTTTTGCGATTTGTTTTTCTAAAGAAAAGAAGCTACAAAAGCTTTGTAAATGTTAAAGTTCTTTTTGTTACGTCGTTATTTATTTGATTTCTTTTCATCTTACTTTAATTAACTGTTGAAGTGGCTATAGTTTTTCTTTGTGATTGATTGAATTTAATCTTCTAATTTGTTCGTTATGTCGTGTGAAAATATAAAATCCCCTAATGAACAAAAAGAACAACTAGGTACGTCTGCCAGAGAAACTGCCAGAGAAGAATGTCCGACTCCAGCGGCATTTGAAGATGCCAATATGGTAGAGAACGTGACAAATTTACTTGGTACTGTTGGCGGCGCCGAGTTCGATCGCGGCGTCTTGAGGGATATGGCTGCAGAAATAACCAAACTTATTGAGTAAGTAATAAGTTTTAAAATAGTTTCAAGAAAAAAAGAGCAAGAAATACTAAATCAATTATTTGGTCTTTGGCCAAACTGTTTGTTTTGCTATGTTTTGCTTTACACCTTTATACACATTTACCAAAGCCAGCATAAAAGAGAAAAAAGAAATTATTTTTGGCAAAAATTCTCTGTGCGAAATTTGTGATTTGTATTTACTTTTCCTTCTTTTTTGTTTTTGCTGACAAAGTGACGCCATTTAAATGCGCGTACATATACGCTTCAACGAAAATAAGATCAGAGGAAAACAGGCCAACGAACTATTTATTCGTCATTTTCTCGTTTGTAATCAACTGTAGCATTCATTAGGACAAATGTTTAATTTTCTTATTTAATATCACTGATCTGTAGCCTATTTGCACATATGTTGCGCTTAAATGTATGCACATATATATATATATATATATATATATGTATATATATATATATATTTTTTTTATGCGCTTATAAAAATTCTTTAAATGCTTATCATTAAATTGTTAATGAATTAAACCGCAACTGTTTGTTTTCTTATGCGTATAAATAATCAATCGAAGAAATCGCTTTATAACAATCACCTAAGGGCAGGGAAATATTTTTGTGAATATCCAGAATATGCACTCACTGGAATAACATATCAATAGTTTTCAGAATTGACCAAGAAGTTGATTATTGTATTGGCGTTCCTTGGAAAGTTTATACCGTTCTTGTTTTTTTTCTTGATCAAGATTGTTTATATGTTAAGGAGAGAATCCCAATTTTTACACTACTTCGGCAGTTAAAAAAAAACTTTTTTGAACCTGGGCAAATTTTCCTTTCAATTTGCACACTGACATTAAGGGGAATTGTAACTGATTGTTGGCCACAACAAAGTACGTGTACAGACCTTGAAACTTTCCTCGAGGCTCAGGAGAGTGCAACATCCAAGTTCCCTTTAGGCCTTTTTTTAATTCCAACTTTTTACATTTTAAATGTTATGGAATTATTGTTAGCTCGTGTGTGTGACTATATCTTCATTTCATTTCACTGTTCAAAAATCTGACAACGATTGCTGTAAGCAAACTTTGCTTTTGTTATTCGAAAACGCCATATATAGCTTGGATAAGCTTGGTTCATTATTGCTTATCGAAATATTATTATGTGTACACAAAAACGACTTTCACTTATACGTAATAAGTGTACACTTATCATTAATACATAATGCAAAGCATAATAATTCTTAAATAAAATAGAAAACAAGTAAGAACAAGTAAAGATCGGTCAAGGCCGTCCATTAAATAACCTACACCCCATTGTCTAATACAATTCTTATTTTATATATGAAATTACTATTATGGGACAATTTTCATCTGCTCTATAAAGGATCAATTTTCGTAAAAATCCTTATTAAGGTAGGATCCAAAAAAATAGGACAAAATTGTCCAAATTTAATACAGTTCATTTTCTTATCTTAAATTACTATGATGACGTAATTTTCATCATGCAACATTGAAAATTATACCTTTTTGTCATATGAACTTTAGTTTTTGTTATACGAGAGAGAGGGTTCAAAAATTGCTCCAGCCGGTTCAAACTTTTTATACAACTTTAGAATAAAGTACTACTACTATTTAACCACAATTTTTAAATTTTGAAAACTGCATTTTTTTTCCGTAGCAGTGATCGAAAAAATGAATCGATCCGAGTTATTTTCAATAGCGTTCATCCTTTCATCAAAATATCTTCTACATTGTAGACTGTAGCTTGAACACAAATTTACATGGACACACATCAGACGGAAAGACGGACAGACATGCTTAGATCAATTCAGATTATGACTCTGAATCGTTCCGTATAATAAAAAATGAATCTAGCTTAAGCCCTTCCGCGTTACATAAGTCCGCATTAACTTTACTTTACAGCCTGTCCCACAATTGGTGTAGGGTGTAAAAACATTGGAAAACTTTGTAATCAAAGAGCAGGAGAACACTAATGAGTCGCTTGTGTATTTAATAAAATTAAGTTCTTTGAGTGAAGAGTCTCTAACGAAGAAGTGTAAAGGCAATGGATGGTAGGAAATTTTTCAATCGGTCGAACGATCGGTCACGTTCGACATACAAAACATTTCGTAGAATTTTTGTAATTGCAATAAAGTTGTTTTGCATATTGAGGTCTACCTTTCGGCCGATAACAGTCCTCATTAACTTTCAACAAAATTGTACTGCTATGGATAGTTTATGGAAAAGAGCAAAATGTGCTCAATTCACTTCTCTATTGGAGACCACTGGATTAGGCACATGCGCCAATATCCGCGTAATCTATAGAAAACAATCGTTGACTTTTTCACCTATTAACTTACATTTTGTTGTCGCTTAAATGACGATCAGTAAGTGATTTATTTACTGGCAAAAAAAAAAAAAAAAAAAAAAAACGAGTCTATTTTTTTGCATATCGCGTTTTATTGTTTTCATGCTATTCTGATTTTTTATACGCCCTACTGACAACAACAGCTAGTCAAGCTTAACAGAAAATTTGAGAAAGATTCTATTGTTGTAATGATTGACTTACTTGATGCATCTTCACTTTTTTATATTCCGATTTACTACATAATGCGATTTATATACTGGAACAACTCGTTTAAATGGCTGAAGATATACTTAAGCACACACATATTAATATATGTGACTTTTTTTTTTTTTAAGATTAAGATTAATGTTTGTTGTGAAATAATAAATATAAAACTAGTTATTAATTGCAAAACTATATTTAGACGTTAAGTATGAAGAATGTTTTACTAGAGACTATTGAATAAATAATCATCCGCAATAGAAAAGTAAAAAAAGAATTTTAATCTATCGATAATAAGAAATTTCTTCTACAGAAGTCAATGTTTTTTTCTCAACTGTAAACGGAATTTCACCGTCAAAAAAGAGCTTTATGCAAATTTGCTTTGTCTGTCTGCTCGTTAGTCGTCCATTTTTTATTGACCTTTGCTTTTTCTTCCTTAATAGCTTGGTCGTGGACTACGTAAACTGACACTTGTTGACATTGTTTATGCCCGTTAGTTATGTATGTAACACCCGGAAGAGCCACCTAAGCATATTTCTTTACCTCATGTCTGTCTATGTAAATCTTTTGTTCAACCTTCAGGTCGAAATTTTTCAAATATTTTAATTATATTTGGTACGCTGACATATTCTTACCCAGGGACAATACCTGCTGCAAATGGTTTGGATCGATTCATTCTTTCGACCACTCCTCATATATTTTGAAAATTAATTATAGGGAGAAAAAAATTGCAATTTTCAAATACTTCGACATTCTAAATTGATATGAAAAATTTGATTCGGCTGTGTCCATTTTTTTGAACTCCCTCTCGTATAGATCTTCCGACGAAAAATGGATTTTTATATGGTCAATAGATATAATAGATTTTCAATATTTCATAGGGAAAACTGGTTTATAGTAGGAAATTAATATACATATCAATTCTACCGATTTTGCGTCGCCTAGGCCTGTTTTTTGGACACCAACACATATAAATGTTCTCTTGAATTGTAAACTCCTTTATGGCAAAACAGCTTAATTGTTAATATTCTATGATTGAAATTTGTTTATGATAGTTATTCGACATAAAAAGTCGAAAGTGGACCAAATTTAAACCAGCTGAGTCAATTTTTTGGAATCCATTTCATAAAAGATTTCTCATGAAATGAGAAAATGATTTAGTTTTTAATACTTTTTGATAAAAATTGCTTAATAATAGCAAGTTAGCAAATTGCTATGTGATTTGAATCACTTAGGTCTATTTTTCAACACATCCTCACATATAAAGGGATTATCTTGGAAAGCAAGTTCTTATATATATTAGTAGTTCCGGCTCTCTATGTCGGAAACTGAAAAATTATAAAATTTTTTCGGAAATTTGGATCACGCCATATGTTGCTTTGCACATGCTCCACTATGCGGGCTTTCATGAGGAAGTATTCCTTTGCATGAAAATAATTTCTAATATTTGATGTATGATTATCAAAACGAATGAATAATTGTACTAGGCGCATTGGTGTAGGGTATCTAAGGACCTATATATGTTCTACTTATTTTGAATATTACCTTTACCTGGAAAGAATTCATGTTCATAATTAATTTTGGTTTATTTACGGCTTAGTTACATGTTCGCATATAAATAAACAATTGCTATACAACTAAAAACAACGTGAAGGCTTTGTTTTTGTAGACGCACGTTTTTCTCAACATACTTATTATTATTATGATAAACAACGTCCAAGCAGTTGACATAAACTATATGCATTTGTAACGTTAACCATTTGCCAAAATGTATTATTTTTACGCATTCCTTATGGAATTTTTTCATATTCACTATCACCGAACAACTGCATTGTCATTTCATCAATCCCCTTGCGACAACGAAAAATAATGTGTGGAAGATTCGGCTCATGTATACTTTTATAGCAGTTGAATTACAGTCTGCTTGTCTGTTCTCGGATAGATCTTGTTTTGGTTCGGATTTTAAAGATTTAAATCGAAGGGACCTATCTGAACAAATAAGAAACTTATATTCGTCTTGGAATGCTTCTTTGGAATAAAGCAATTGTAAATTTAATTCTATGTCTACTCAATTGTGTTAATTAAATAGTTGTGGGCGAACCAGTTACTTGCCTGCAGTTGTTTCCTTAGTCTTTCTGACTAGTGAGTGTACTCACTATAGGCAGTAAGTTTTAGTTTGTATGAGCATTGTGATCTCTCTAGCAATGGGATATGTAATGTTTTTGATAAATGTTTGCTCGAAATTTTTGATTAAAATCACTTAATAAATTATAAGATCTTTGTGCAGATTAAAAGTACAATAGTGGATGGTTCACATTTCATCCATGACCATTAGTATGAAATGTATGTGCCGAGTTGTTTCGACTTTTTCCCCTTTCATATGTTAATTTATGATTACATGCTTTACACTGTACGGACGACGCTAAATCTGGCCAGAATTTCACACCGATCAAAAAATATATGCATTTGTGTTTACGGACAGATGGACAAATCTAGTAAATCTCGATTTTTCGTAGGCCAATGTAAAAATGTAAGTCATAGACGTCATGTTAAATAAAAATCTTTTACTACAAAATATATTGGGCTAGCAATGCAGATAATTTTTCGTGGGAGATACAGTACGATATAAATATATATATATATATATATATATATGTAAATTTTGAAACTTAATATAAACATTTACTAGAGTTATCTTAGAATTTCAATGATCAAAATTTATATTGAACATTGAAATTTATATATATATATTTCTGATCTGATGAGCGATGAGCATCAAAGACTTCTTCTTCTATACTCTGTATATGAAAGCTGAAACATTAAATTCGATTTTAAATGATTTCAAATTTGTTTCGCTTTTCATATTTATCCCGGGCGCTTGTGTACATTTGTTTTGCATATGCTCTACATATTTTGAAAAATGTGTCCGAGTATATGAGTTATTTATATTCTGGAATGTGATTATGTGTGAACGAATGTTTTCACACATAATGAAACTTTGTCTTTCACTTCCTAATTCATACAATATAACAACTATTCGTTACATTCTAATTATGATTTAGGGGTAGAAATAATAAATGAAGAGAGGAAGTGTGCGCGCGTTCGCTCAATGAAGGAAAAGATTGCATCTACTAATAAAGAGACGACGCTTTTTTCAATGATAGGAACTTTTATTCTCTAGGTAGTAGTAAACAAAGTTGGGGGCTGTTGTTAAGCTTGTTCTCGTGATGCAGAATAGCAGCAGGGTGAATGACTCCCATGTGTTTTGTAGATAAGTAAATTTACATGCGTCTCTTAAGATAATTTCGCTTGGCAGAATTCAGCTCCTTGGCTTGACGTTGAAACAGTGCTTTTATACAGGTTTGAAATCTCAAGCATTTTCAGTACAGTCTGTTCTTCACATCTTCTTCCCCATTTAGTCTTGACAAAGTAGATAATAAATTTCGTCTACTATGTATGGATTGTTATGTATCATGTGTTATTTATTTCAAGTAGAGAATCGTATCTGCTTTCTCTTTGTCATCTCTAATCGCATTGATTTTGCCGGAGGTCATGTAGGAGATAGGAGGTTGTGTATAGACAAAAGTTTCTATATATTTGTATATCGTATATATGTGCGGTTGCTTGTGTTCAATTATTTTTAAGTTAAAAACTTTGGAGATCATTCATCCCAACTTGACCCTAAACGCTATCTTCGTAAGGAGACACGTGCGTTAAAAAAAACCAAAAAAACTTTGTCGTTTCTCAGACAATATCGTAAATTAATTGGTCAATGTTTGCTGATTTCGCGGGTAAAATTAATAATATTAAAACAAAATATAAATGTATAGGAAAATGTTGAATTTTTCCCTTATCCAATGTCCAAAAAATAACTCCACTCTTGGAAAAGGTAATGAAGCTAAAATTTTTGTATTTGCTCGCTCGGCTATCGACACGAATATCGCAAGATAAGGCAAAGAAAAACTTACTCTATATAAGTTCCGATGATGGATAAATTAATTTCAAAGGCATTGTTGAAATGCAACACTGGCCTTTAAACACTTTACACCATTTCACCTAATATTATTAATACTTAACTTATTTTCATTATAACGGATCAGAAACCATTCCTCTTTGTGCGAAAATCCCTATATAACCTAAACCGGGTATAGATCATTATGTTTCCCAAGAACTTATTATCCTTCACCTTACTATTTTGCCATAAATTACACGAAGCGTGGCCTTGTTACAATGAAAAGCCTTACTTTCCTAAAAGTCTTTATGGTCTAGGTGGTCTAGGTGTCATAGTCCCTAAAAAAAGATTTACGTGAACTAAACATGTTGCTGAACTTATATGCCCAAAGCCTGTTGCGTTAAAAATTCGAGGTTGTTGATATGCAGATTTTTTTTTTTTTTTTTGCAAAAACGTGGGAGGGGGTGGATGGGCGCAAAATGGTCTCATCTATTTTATGTGCCAACATACAGACTTCTGCCTATTTTTTTTCGAAAAATACTAAACACTGAAATTCTTTTAATGCAAAAGCTTTTCATACGACATTTTATGGAAATTGGTCCTAAACCTTCGCTTCGATCCAACAGGCTTTGTTTTTTTAGCACCTCTATCTATCAAATTTCTTCAAAATATCGTGAAATTTGCAATTTGTTGGTTTAACCAACAAAAAAAAAAACATCAGACAGACAGACGGACGAGCAAACAGATGGACAAGTCTAAACCGATTCAGAAAACGATTACGAATTAATTGGAATAATAAAAGATGCGTCTTAAGGTCTTCTGGACGCTACGTACGCCCACAAAAACGTAACGCCATTTTATGCTAATAGCGAAATAGGTCATGAACCTGTTAAACCTCTGAGAAGGAACAAGACAGAAAAAGATATAAACCTGAAGCATGGAGCAAGACTTTAGAAATTGTGACAATTTACGGGTCGATGAACGAATTTGTCGTTAAAAGCGAGTTCATATCCAAATGTTTAATCACTTGATCCCGTAGGATTTTGAGCATAAGCGTCACATGTGGCAAGGACATGGGTTATTATATTCTTTCCTTCATAAATCTCATAGGCCAATAGTTTCCGACAGTGACACTGTAGATGTCATCTCTGACAAATATTCCGCTTCATTTCTGAAGTGCTAATCTTAATGCCCTCTGCCAAAATTCCATTTTAATTATTTGTTTATGTGTTAGAGGAGTTTTCATGACGGCAATCTTGTTATTTTCAAAAAAATGGAAACTTCCTAATGACCTAAGTTTTTTAAAGATTGCTTTATAATGAGGAAAAATTCCGTTCAAATTGAAAAATTCAAGAGATTCCGTGCAAGAGAGAGCCGACACCCTATAGATGTCGAAAGGCAATAAATTCATTATTTTGTCCGAATATTTGACCCTTTGAAAATGGTTTTTAAACAAGTTGAATGTGTCGCCGTCTTTAGCGTCGTATACCCGTCAAACACAGACTATGTGTAATATGAAATTAGGTTGTAATGAATGAAACGACTCGACAAGATGATCAAAGTATTTCCCAAAATATACTTGCATGAGTCATGATCAAAATTCCGTCTACAAACGACACACTTGCATGAGTTATGATCAAAATACACATTCATAAAGAGAAAATTTTATGAGGAAATCCGACAAGGGCGGATGGACCGATCATGACGTATGTATTCATCATACATAGTTGACTTTTTAAGTACGAAATTGGACAAGGACGGATGGACGAATCGTGACGTATGTATTCGTTATACACAATTCACTGGTTAAGTGTTCCTGACTTTCTAAATTTCGCGGAAAAAGACCGGCATCAAATAATCGGGTGAATAGTCATGAAAAAGAAACGCATTTCGATCTACAAAAAAAGGCATCAAACTCATTATAGCATTTTCGAAGGAAACTCTGTTCAGGGATAAAGTCGAACTTTGTTAAACAAATTTGTCGTGGGACTTATTGGCTGATGTACTCATTACTAGCCATGAACGTCGAATTTTGCATGTCAAATTAGTTTCGGGATTTATTGGCTGATGTACGTTAAGCAAAGCATTATTAGATATGAACTCTGTTAGAGTTTTTCCCTCTTTTCCTTTCTTTTTCCATAATTTTGGAATTTTCTTTTTTGCTAATCAAAGCGTTTACATATTTGTTATTGTAGCTATGTTTTGTTGTTTTCCATAATGAGAGAGGGAGAGAGAGAGCGCGAGCGCGAAGGAAGAATTAATAAAGGGAGAAATTCTATAGAATTAACTCGCACTAGCAAATACGCGAATAACATACACAATGCTGCCACCCTTCCCATACATACACGCACATACTTCCACTCTCACTCGGCTCATAATATAATTGCAAGAAATGAGAGTATTTATGAAGAAAACTTTAGCTTTATAGATGTTTCTCAATACATATTCAATTTATTTTTAATTCATATGGGGATTGACGGCAGATATAGAGAGACACCGAGTGCCAAGTGTGAGCATAAATTCTTTATGAAAATGCGCCTCAATTTCAGTTATGTTCTTGCTTTCGGTTTAATCGGTTTTTACATGTTTTCGTTTGCTATAAGCGGTATGTCGCTGCGCGCTGTTATCAGCTTAAATAGATACTTTTTCGTTTTATTTCATTGAAGGAGAGAAGAGCAATATTTAAATATGCTTGTTTTTAATATGTACAACAAAATGTATTTTTATTTGTGATAAAAAGCAAAAAAGAATAACTAAAAACATTTTTTGAAAATAAACCAAAAATAAACCAAAAAAAAAAAACAAAAAAACCAAAAAGACGTAATAAATAGCATTAAAATCAATTCTAAAGCATTTAAATATTTCCGCTTGTCCTGTGCAAATCAAATCATCGTGGACTTGGGTGTATTATTGAAGGGAAATTCGCATTTAAAAATCTTTAAAAAAAAATCAGAAACTAAAAAAGTACAAGAAAAAAAAAAAATTTTTTTTTTTTTTTTGCAATTGCATGCTGAGTTATTTTCAAGGCGCCCCGTTTTCCTTATTTCATGGATGCTCTGTTCAAATTGAAATGAAATTGAAAGAAAAAGCGCACAATTTATCTCGATTGACTGTGTTTTTTTTTTATGTGTGTGTGTGTGTGTGTTGTGTTAGTGCTTTTGAAATTCAGAAATAATTCGTTATACAATCATTAAACAAAAAAAAGGAAAAAAAAAAGAAAACAATAATAACAAAATCAATTTGTTGTTTATGATTACGTTTCATTAACGCTGTTTTACATACATTTATATGTTTATGCGTAGTTGTTGCGTTATTATGGCTGCTTGCCTCTTTGTTGTTTTTTAAATTTATTTTAATTGAACTTTACATTTGTGTGTGTGAATGTGCGTGCTTACATCTGGATGCTGTTTGTTTTTTTTGTTTTTTTTTTTTTTCAACGCGTTACTACAACCCACGCAAGGTTTTAATAAGGGAGGGAGAATTTCAAAACAACTTATCCTAAAAGAATAAGACAGAGAAGAGAAACAAACAAAGAGATTGTGTCTCTGTGTGTTTGTGTGTAATATCAAGGATATAGATTTTTCATAGCTTGCGATGCGTCGACACCGTTGGGCGTTTAAGTGAGTATTTATTTACAGGAAATGATATAAAAAAAAATCAATCCTTTAAGTATTTACATAAACATACCCTTGCGAATTGTTTCAGGATAGGAATTCTCGGTATTAATCTTTTTTATTTATTTTAAATATCTGTCATCGAAAGGTGGAAATGATCAGACATATATATATACATATAAGTGAATATGTTAGCTTGATTACACTTGCATCATATTCCGAATCAGTTTAGGCATATCCACAGTTTGCCTAGTCGTCTCCTATTCGTATACGTAATGTTATTAGAAGTTGTTGTTCTCATGCGATAAATTGGACAAAGAAGACGCGTACAATTGAACATAAGTTGTGAGCTACTTTTGCTTTCAAAACCGCAATAATTTGGATTATTTTGCTCTTCAGCCGAATATGACGAAAAGTATTTTCATCTATATTTTCTGAGAGGTCCTATAGCAGCTTTCTTATCTGTCTAAAAGTAAAAAACCGGGCGTGTTCGCTCAGTCATTATTACAGGGTATTGAAATTTAATTTTTGGTCAATAAGTTTCCGAATACTTTTCAGAAACTCTATAAAGTACATGTATACACTCTTGACAATGTCAAGATCGTGAGGCTATTGGCGGTATTCCTTTTGCCGCCTGTGCAAGAAACGCTCTTTCAGTCGCAAAGGTTAATATATTGGTTCCTTGCCAACGTTATGAAAGTTCTTTTGCATACATATACCAAAGCTGTCAATGGACTCGCCTGCAGACCAACATAAGAAAAGCTTGTATCTTGTTGTACAATGAAAAAAGTCTTTGTATGAATTCTATGGTTGATCACCACACATTGAAAGTGCGGTAAATGCGCTTCATGCCCACCGAATATTATTCGTCTTTCGTGTAACATTTCGTTTCAAGCTGGCGGATATAAAAGATTCGTCTTAACGGATATAATATTTTTATTCGGTAATTACACATCACTTGTGACACAACGTGTATTAATTTTGACGAATGTATGTAACACCGAGAAGGACTTCAGATTGCCCCAACTTTTATTACATCTATCCATTCAGATTCATTGTCTGAATCAGTTTAAGCATATCTGTCCGTATATCTTCGTACTCGAGATACCAGGCTGAGACATTTTGATCATATTCGGTAGATTGATATAATTTGGCTTAATGACGGTTCAGGTCGCTTGCATGATCGAGACGTTTTTATTATCCTTACCGTAGAAGGTGAAATTCTGAACTTGAAAATATCTGCATGAAACTTGCTAAGTCGTAGTATGATACGAAAAACATGAATCACATAAGCTTGACGTACGCCACTCGTGTAAGGGTTCTCACGGAAAGCAACAGTTCATTTGATGAAAAGTTTCATTTATGTTTTGTGACAAAAATTGGTTCATAAGTAATAGGTTCACATAAAAATTATCTGCACCAAATTGCATCAGGCAGATCTTCAATGGGGCCCACCCTGTACAATTCAAGTAAGGCCTTATATGGTAACGAAGTTTTACTTTTAATATTCATGATGAAAGAGAAATTTTTCTTAATTTCAATTCACGTCTTTCTCCCTCGTCCATACAAGGGTACCTATGAAAAGTGTATAGCTTAACAAGATCAGAAGGAGTAATTTTTCATATTTTATTATGAAAATAGATGAATAGTTGCATTTAAAATATCTAATATTCGGCCTGGGCTGATCATAATATTTTTAATTGTTGTTGTCTATGCTTTTTGAAAATTGTTCAGCTCTGTTTATAAATATATAAATATAAACATTTTCTTGTCCTTTTTTGGGCATGATAACGGATGCATTAAATATGGAATCTTTGTTTATATGAACTCAAGTGGCATACATACGCATTATGTCAGCTTTATTATTATTATTATTATTTTTTTTTTGGAAATAATGCGATGTTACGTAATACATTTAAAAAGGTTGATATTTGAATGCGTTTTGGCTTCGAATTTTTTATATATATATGTCAATCATGTCTTGTCAACAGCTTTCTTCATCCAAGTTGGATGAAGGTTGGAAGTTGGTTTGTTTAATTTCTCTGGCGATATCCTCTATGCCAAGCTATCGAATCTGTTTGAAGTTGAATATTCGAAAATATTTTCTTCGGTTTTGAGAAATTTCTTGATTTCATCAAATGCCTTAAGTCAAGTTTCCGAATTGTATGTCAATTTTTTATAAAACTGCAATGTGTAGAAGGAAACGAGCAGAGTGATCTGGCAAAAACAGAAGGGACCGAATCATTTTCGAATCAAAGTTCGGTGAAAAGTTTTTTTTATTATTTATTTATCTATTATGAATGGAATAACAATTAATTGCATTATTTTAGTTTCATTTCTCATTGGCGATTCATTTAACAATGATCCATTATTTAGATCAATTTTTAGAGCTAATTTCCTAAATTAGATTTAATCGGTGAAATTATTTATGTAATTAAATTGTTGCTACATGATTAAAACATTTCATTTGTCTATAATAACGACTAAGTCTTGTTAATTTTATTTATTTTTTTAATTAATTGAGCGCATTATTTGTTTAGTACAAGTATTATTATTAGTTGATTAATACAAGTAGTAGTAGTAGTAGTAGTAGTAGTGTGTGCCATTTATGCCATTAAAGCTGTGAAAATATGAAACATTCAAAACGACTTGGCTTGAGGTAGATCCAGATGTTATCAGTTCTCAAACATTCCCTGAACACGGTTTAGGCTTATCTGTCTGTCCATCTCACTACTGTTTGTTCATATTCTTTTGTGTTCAATTCATAAAATTTTCGAAATATTTTAATGAAATTAGATACATTGATGATTTTTAAAACCCGCTCCTCCCATAATGGTCGTTTTTACCTAAATTAAGCTTTGATATGGCAACAAAAGCCTAACTTTTAGTATCGTATGCCAAATGCTTGATATTAAAATTTTGCCATATTTAACTCCGGACTACATTAATATAATTTTCGATCTTTCTTCCCAATAAAGATTTCCATTAAAAATAAGCTTTCAAATGTTAAAGACTTCGACTTTTCATGTTTTTAGGCATAAATAATAGCGTAGAGTGCTTAACAGGTCGGTTATGCCCGACTGCAATGTTTTAACTTATTTTAGTTTGCGCAGCGATTTTTCCCATCATTAATGAAAATGTTTTTTTTTTATTGTTTGTTTTCTTTATTTCACTTTATACAGTTTAGTAATAATTATATATGTACGAAGCAAACCCTACCCATTTTATATTTGCATTGATTATATTGAAAGAATTACTGGCCTTATATATAGTTCCATTTCATTCAATCACAAAGCGGCTGTGTGTATACAGCACATGTTCCGTTATCCAATTCTTTGCTTTCCCAAAATTATCTTACTATACCCGCTTGATAATGAATAAGTGTTTTGCAGATTCCCTAGAGTACCTAATGAAAATTACAGATTGTTACAGACTTACTCTATAAAGCGAAGACATGCATTTTGAGGACAACGGGGGGAACCACTTGTACGTGGATGACACGACTTTAATTGGATCTAATTATAAACATTTAACACAAGTTTGTATCAAAAGTTATTGAAATTGATTTCTGCTAAATATCCTATGGCCGGACTTTGATGGAACAATAGATTAAAAACATAAATGGCTTAGGTTAGTTGTACAGTTGGCAGTAGTAGTTGGTTAGTAGGCAGTTGGCTAAATACTCTTTCGTTATATGCTAATCAAATATGCCTTAGTAAAGTCTTTCCATTCTATCATAAGAATATCCTATAGTTGTTCTTATAACTAATTTAGTCAAAGAAATACATTGTAGGACTACTGTGTTATCCGTCTGAGTAGCCGAAGGCGAGGAATCTCGACTAGCAAGTCAGTGGTCATGGGTTCGAATCTCAAGTGCCGTAAAGTTTTTAATAAAAGCTGATAGCATTAGATGCTAGTGGTTTTAAGAGCTTAGTCTTAGAATTTATTTCTCTGACGAAATTAATAATAATAATAGGACTACTGTGTTAAAGTACTTAAGTAGCTAAGGCTATCGGCTTCATTGAAAATTCTACCGCTCTTGAGATTTGTATCCACGAATATCACTGAGTTGTAAGTCGAGTTCGTTTGTCTACTCAGCATATCTCAGGCTATATAAGTTAAATATATTCTGGATCAACATGAATATTAGAAATGATTTAGTCAATGTCTGCTTGCTTGTCTAAAACTAAGTATATGGCCATATGCTTGTCTATTATTTATTTCCCTATTGAAATTAGAAGTTTGTTAATTTTTCTTATCACTCGTGTTAGATTAAGCTTGAGCAACAACTAAATCTATTTATAGGCTTTACTACGAACTGGAAGCTTTAAATCTTCAACGTCAAATAAAACGCGTGCTCACTTAATTTTATTTCTGCTCTTGCCTCGGTAACAATATCACGTATTAGTTTGGGGAAAAAGAAATCCATTATTTTTTCGGTAGATGGCTGCACTGATAGATTTCTCGTAAAGTATCGATCAAACAATTTCCGATACTGTACATTTACATACTGTACATTTCGCAGTAAAAAAAATTCTTTTGCTGTTTTTTGTTTGGTGCATTCAGTTGTGAGTTAAAGCGTGTTAAAAATGGAAGTGAACAAAGAGAAAATTCGGTACATTTTACAGTTTTTCTTTGACAAAGGCGAAAATGCAAGCCAGGCGGCTAAAATTGTGAATGGTGTTTATGGTTCCGATACTATAACAGCCAATTATGTGCAATTTTGGTTTCGTAGATTCCGTTCAGGAATTTTTGATGTTAAATATGCACCTCGCACAGGTAGGCCGATAGTCGAAAATGTCGATAAAATCGGAGAAATGATCGAAGTTGACCGGCATGTTAGCAGTCGCCAGCATCGCTCAGGAGCTAAAAATCGACCATAAAACAGTTTTAAACCATTTACACAAAGCTGGATTCAAAAAGAAGCTCAATGTTTGGGTGCCACACCACTTAACAGAAAAAAACATGATGGATCGAATTTCCATCTGCGAAGGCTTGGCCAAACG